CCCTAAGGGCCCTGCTCAGAAGGTGAAGGCTCAGAAGGAAATGAGGAAAATATTTTTGGAAACTGGAGGGAAGGGGATCCTTTATAATGTAGTGGCAGAAAGTCAAGCTGAATTATGCTCTGTAGTTATGTAGAAGGCAGAACACGTAAGCAGTGAACTTGGAGATTTTCCTGAGATTTCCAAGCAACATGCTGAATGTGCAGCCTGGTCTCTTCTTGTAGTTTATAGTATAATTTGAGGGGAAAGAGAGAAATCGAGGTTAACTGTTAAGCAAAAATGAACCTGAACTTGATAGTTTGGGAAATTTTCAGCTAATCCACATTGTAAAAGATGCTAAAATGAGGAGATTCACTATTAGAAAAGCATGCTCTGGAAAGAAAGCCACAGGTGTTGCTAGTGCCTTGAGAAGGGGGAAGGTCAGAGTTTTCCCTCACACAGAAGGTTCCTTGAAGAGATGACTCCGGGAGCCCCTCCAGCCTCAGCAGAAGCCAGGGACAGGGATGAGAGCATCTCGAAAGATCTGTGGAGGAGCTCCTTGTCTAGTAGCGAGAATCCCCGTAACATACACAGGAGAGTCACAAGGTTTTTGAGATTGTTATGTAAGCAGAAGCACTGCCAGAGTGATCAGGAAGGGACAAAAACAGGGTGAAATGAAAGAAGGCTGATAGGCTCCCCAGTTCCATAGGCAGGACGCAGGATAATAAGTCGTGTTTTTTCAAGTCACTCAGTTTGTGATAAATTGTTGCAGGGACAACAGTTAATGCAGGAAAATAATACCCACATCAGGGGCCAAACAAGGCGTTTGTGCTTTTAATTAAATCAAGTCGTTATTGCCATTAATTACATCAAACAGGGACTATTCATAACATATGCATCAGGTGTGTAGAGTACTTATAAACAGCCCTGTACCCACGAGCTGTTCCAGATCTAGAACTTACCGTCACCTTTGAGCCCCGGTGCATCTGACAGCCTGTTTCCCTTTCTTTCCCCTAGAGGGTAACTACTGTCTTGAATTTTGTGCCTGTCATTCACTTTTCTTAATTTTTTAGATGTGTATCTTGATATGTTTACTTTTTCATTTTGCATAGTTTTAAATTCTGTGAAGGAAATCCTACTATAAGGTTTGTTCTGTGACTTTAAAATGTGCTTAACACTGAGGTGCCTCATGTAGCTGTATTTCGTTCATACTAACCACAGCATAATGTGATCCTGTAAAGATGTAACAGAACTTATGAATTCTTCAAGCAGTGGGCATGCAGGCTGGTTCCAGCTTTCCACTGTCCTGAATTGTGCACACTGCTGTGAACATTCTTGTCCACGCTTCTTAGCACACGTGTGTGAGTGTCTCACTGGGGTACACGCCTGAGGGAACTCTGGGGTCAGAAAGTAAGGATCTTCACCCTTACTGGATGTGCTGTTTCCCAGAGTTCTGGTACAAAATTTCAAAATTCAGTTTCAAGTAGCCAGTTTTTTCCTTTTTAAACCTCCTAGTACATACTGCTTCTAAAATTTATTTGATGTATATTTATTTGATTTATTTGCCTTTAATCTATCTTACAGGATTACTTCATGGTCAACTCTTGCATTCTTGGTCATCTTTACCTATGCTAGTGTTTTAGAACTAGACATACTGTCAGCCTGGGGAGAGGCTACATGTTCTTGGAAGAGGTGAAAGAGTTCAGAGATTAAATGAATAAACTCTAGAGCCAAAATGTCTGAGTTTAAAACTCAGCTCTGCCACTTACTTACCAGCTGTGTGACCCTGAGCTGGTTACTTAATCTCTCTGTGCCTCAGGTACCTCCCATGTAACTTGAGGAAGACCCTAGTACTCATTTGAAAGGGTTACTGTGAGGATTAAATAACTCAGTATGTGAAATACTTGGAATTGTGCCAAGCACAGTGAGCAATATATAAATGGTTGTCATTGTTATTAGTATTGATGTTGTGGTTTCCGTAAGAGCAACCCTATGTAAAAAGTCAAACACTCTCAGCAAGTAACATTGTCTCACACTCAACAGAAGTGATCAGATGGAAACACCCCTATCTTCGCATCAGCACATCTGAAAATCTTCCTCTGTGCCTACACTGTCGCCCCGTTTGACAGCAAACCCTCCTGTCCAGCCCTCCGCTGCGCACTGGGTTCCCTGCCTTGACGCCAGGACTGCCAGTGCAGTCGTCCTCCCTCTCAACTTGATCATTCTCATTGTGGGAGCCCATGGTTGGGTTTACCAATTGTAACAGACCCCAGACACTTGTCTCCTTAAAGAAGAGCAAATGTGCTTAGTAACTGCCTTGCTTACACAGTTGAGGTTTTAGATAGCACTCTGCTCGTTGCAAGCAAGGACCCAGGCCCTCAGGTATAAATGCTGGGCGTGCCTGCTGTTAGATACACTTACCCAAAACAAGGAACTGGCTGGTCTGGTGGTCTGCTCTAACATATCTATAAGGATGTATCTTGTTCCCTCTTCCCATGACTTCCCTAAAGATAAACTGTAG